TCAACTCTAGTTGGTGACTGGCTGAAGTCATAAAAGACTGCAGATACAACAGGTAGAGGTGCCGCCTGAAACACATGGGGGGAGGTTGGGCTGGAGCCCAAGGGCAGGTGCGGTTGAGGCATATCAGAAGCCGAGGCCAAGACATCGGGAGACATGGGATGACAAGATCTGGGAGGAGGTGGTGGGGCATAGGGGAAAGTGAGTGTTGGAGTTGTGACAGTTTACCCCCATGGTGATTTTAGGAGTCGTTGCAATTCAAGGTCTTCGTTTGATTTAATAATTAAATACAGCAAGCAGCCTGTAGTGGCTGTAGCGTTCACACAAAACATGGACAAATAGAACATTGTTTCTTAAACACACCATTCAGGAATGCAGGGCAGTTAAATTAATTGTATTGTAATTGGGCCCAGGAATGTATTGATAAGTGATATTGTGGCATGTTCTCATAAGAGCAAAATCTCCCACAATGCAATGTTTCAACAACATTTTATAACAATTTTTTATATATCTGAAATTTAGTTAATTTATAAATGTTTGACAATTGAAGGGTGTGTCTGTCACTCAGTTGCTATTATTTGACACCTATTCATATGGCTATTTAAAGACTGGTCATCAGAAAACATTATTACACGTTCTAATCAGGCCTTATGGTGTTAAGTGCAGTCTCCAAACGCATCCACTCTCACCATATGAGGCTAGGCTCTAAGAAAAGCTGTCTCTGGTGTGGATTAATTAGTTTCAAGGACAATGCATAAATGATCAGAGTATTGTTTTTTGTTTGCATTTGACTGCAAATATTGTGGTTAATGTTAACATGATTCCTTGCAAGAGGTGTCAGTTTTGTTGCCAGAAAACAGGGGAAAACCCCTATTAGTATATTTCGGTACTGGCAAAGGAGGCCTCATGAAACTATAGGCACTTTATGATATACGAATTAGAATTTCCGCGCGAACGAAATTTCACCGGCACGCGCCGCGAGATCAAACAAGAAGCTCCCGGGAGGCTGCGTCGTCTTCCATCCGCGGCAGTGTCACGGTGTCCCTGCAGTGCAACGCTAACGCCTCCCCATGTCACCTTTCCAGGCATTCCAACATGCTAAAAAAAACCGTTTGGGTTCCCTGAAAAGGTATTTTTTTTATTATTATTAAATTGTTTTAATAATTATGTTCTTTACTATTTGTGTATTGTGAAAAGTGATGTAGGTGTATATTACATACTCTTTGGTTTTATTCGGTAAAGTCACGTAGGTAAAAAATAAAACAACAAAAATCACGACGTTTCGGCCACAACACAAGTGGCCTGACTTTTTCCACTATGAAAGTATAATGATATAACAAACACACAGTTCCGTGTGTCATTCTGTTTGTCACATTCTGTCACTAACGCCTAAACTTGCCAAAAGATGTATATAGAATAAATTATATAACACAAACAAAAAACACAACACACACCACTCACGCACGCGCTACACGCAACACAGACAACGAAAAATAAATGAAAGCACAACTTTTTTTAAACCTGTCTATGATCATCATTAACGCTGTCAACGCTTCCGAGAGAGAGAGAACAGCTGTGATTGTTGTGGGATGCCGCTGTCACCCCCCCCCCTCCCACCAACAGGCTGTGGTTGTAGTGTGCCGCCAGTCATTCTGTCACTAACGCGTCAAGTTGCCAACATATATAATTTACAATAAATGGCAAATATTTTTTTGCCATTACATTTTTTAACTCAATTTAAAAAAAAACATCTACAACTTTTTAAAGCGCCGATTTATATTTCAGGCAAAAATTACACGATATAGGAATAGGTTTTACCCTTATTAACTGGCACAAAAACTGACACCTTTAATCAAGGCATCATGTTTGCAATAACCACAACACAAGCAGTCAAAATGCAAACAAAAAAGACAACTCTGATTATAATAATATGCACTGTCCTTGAATTTGTTTGGTCCACACCCGAGACGGCTTTTCTTAGAGCCTAGTCTCCATTGGTGTTGGACCAGAAGACGCCAAAAGGCGTACAACTCAAAAACAGCGCACTATCAGAGTATTACACGAGTTATCTTTTTTTAATCATTTATTTTATATCGCAAGTGCCAAATCATCCTAACAGTTCTTTCAGTGATTAATAAGTCATGGCTCTTAGAAGCGAATTTAAATATCACAACTAAAGTTAAAATACATTTTCATTCATTCACATTAAAGTTACGTCTCGGGATCGTCAAAAGAGGTATGTAGAGTGAAAGTTTTAAGTGAAAGCCACGTAAAGCCGCTCTTATTCAACAACCTAGTAAGCTATAGATTTGTAATTACTAATCTGCCAAACAACGGCATCTTGAACACATTTTGACCTCATATTCCTGGTATAAACTCTGCTTTGGTGCCTCAATCGCGAATCACAAAACACTGACACAATCATGTCTGGGATGGTTGGATTTATCTTGGCCTCTATTTAGGCTGGGAAATCGGGCCCAGCTCCTTAGCTCCACTGTGGTGATCTAACATTGTCTGTAACAAGAACTTTACATTCAAAGGTTGGTGGAATAATCCTGATATACGTTGCACCTCTTTACATAGCTGCGTGTATCAACTACGTAACTTGTATTATATATAAAAAAGCAAGAAATGTAAATCTGCTCTTCGGCTTTACCTTCAATCTTTCGTGTTAGGAATTTTCAATTCTGATTACATGCACTTATGTCTGGTTATAAAAGCCTTACCTGCCCAGGCTTTATGCTGCCTATCCTTTTGCCATTATATCAAACAGTGCAATTAACAATCCCAACTTACCTGAGTTTATCGTTTATAGCATTTATCCATAATGGGTGATATTGGATATTGGTCGCAAACGCCTACGTGTTAAACTATAGCATTTATGTTCACAAATTATCATCCTTTCTGGCCCATTGTAAGAGGGTTAGCGAATTCCAATGCATTACTCTTTGTTGAGGCCTCGCTGCCAATGCGATAAACTCTTTCCAAATCCCCTTCATTGTATCCATCACTCAGCACTGCATCCTCATCTGAGGAATCAAATAATAAAGTAATAAACTGGAAAGTAATTCTTTCCAGTAGGAAGCAAATTTGCATAATGTTCACACAATATGGTCAAAATGTAGACTATAAGCAATGTTATATAACTAGCTTTATAACACTCTTTTAATACTTTTTTCCCTCTATTAAACTATAGTTTCAAATAAAAATGTGTCCACTTCATGACAAGGATAATGTGCAAGTGTTTGTATATACACTTTTGTTAATATCTGAAATGTTCTGCGTAGAGGAAAGACAGATCCAATTTACAGGCTGTCACAGGTATTTTCGATTTGAAATGCATTACAATTTATTATAGGGAACTGAATCAATCACAATGAAATATTAAAACCGTAACAGTATAGTGACAATAGTTATGGAAAACAAGATCGATTTCGTAGAACAGAATTGTTGCTACTTTCCATAAATGAAAGTTTAGGGAGGCGGCCTCAAAGAGCAATATTGCCATGCAGTCAATTGCCCCATATCTAAAGCGACTTTACAATCGTAGCCACCTAAATCAATGTTTGGTGTTGCATTTCAGTTCCGAGAACAATCACGTCGGTGATGCTGACGAGCAGTGCAATAAGACAACCTCCAGCAGCAAGGAGCAAGCCTCCAACTCTGGAGGAACATTTATACATGTGTGGTGACATCAGGGATGTCACCGTATGGTGCTGGCCCGGGAGGGCCGTGGCGTGCGATGTTCCTACGTCGCGGACAGCACCGCGTGGGTTGCTGTGCGAGGCCGGCTCTAGCACAGCACGGCGTGCGATGCACCGTCATCGCGTACACCCCGTAGGTGGGTGTAGTACCAGCCCTAGCGGGGCTTGGTGAGCGCTGGGATAGCGCGGAGTGCGGGCTCCCACGAGGGGGAGAGTGTCAGCCCAGGGGCAGGGTTGCCCCGGGCCATGGCACTCGAGTTGAGCCCGTAGGCACGTGATTCGGAGAGTCCACAAAGGAGGCCCCCGGGGGGGGGGGGGGGCTGGGGGGTGATCACGTGTCCGGGGAGAGCTCTCGAGAGGGAGCAAGAACGCTCGAGAAGGTGGGCGGGGCCGAGGGCGGAGCCAGCCCCGACCGGGGTCGCTTCATTCTACAAGCTGGAAGCTCTACGTCCGACATCTGAAGAGGCCGGGGACCCGAGTGAGGGTCCGACCCTTCGTAGCTGTAACTCCTCTGTATAGTGTAGTTGGCTGGGTGGTCACCACCCCAGGCTGTATCTGGTAAATGGGCAGTTACCCCTTTGTACGTGTTACAATAAATGTGTTGCCTCTGAAGAATAAAGTCTGCGACTCAGTTGGACTCACTACACATGTTCCATCAGAGACTATAATTGCAGTAATTTAAGAGTTTGGTAAATTGCGTGTACAATACAAGCAAATACTTGTATACAGAATGTTTTAGATTACGTCTGTGTCCATGCCACAGATACTTTAAATATCCATGTAGCCACATTTCATTATGGTTGGTTTTGGAACCCGTGTAATTAAATGACTGAGTGGTGCGATCTCGTCAGCATTTGTTGACTGTGCCAAACGTGGTTCACTTGGAGGCCACATTGTGTTCAGAGGTATTCTGAAAAGTCGCACCCAGGTGTATGGATTAATAGAGCACTCGGTAACATTTGCCACAAGCATGTATGAACACACTCGTATGGGCGATTTTAATGGGCCGACACCAACTTTAGCCCACGTAAATTGCAAATATTACAAGTACTCCATGGATCACATATAACTCACACATCTGTGCATGTGGACATTTAACAATGTTTGGTAAACCTGTGTGGAGGCTCCAAATAAACACGTGACTCAATATACACATGATCTACATGGAGTTCTTTGCCATATCCACGTGATTGCTATGGTATGGCGCATCCACATTTTCTGAAAATGTGAACAGATATTACAAGAACATGTAGGCACTTAATTTCACATGAACAATAAATCACGACCAGTACAGGCATATGGAGGACACAACATACATACATCTTTATTGGAGAATTAAATATGGTACACTTTATTAGGCTGGAGGTCACAGATTCTAATGGAAATAGAGGCTAAGGAAATGCATGCGCAATCACTGAGACAGAATATAATCACACTGCACATGGGGCATGTTTTATACAGCAGGAATGTTACCATCTTAAGGGAAAAAAATTCAAGGCCCAAACGGATTTTGCAACTCCACCAACTTTGTTGAGGTGTTAAATAATAACTGACCTTAATTGCACTGTCAGAATGAATGATCGTCTCATCGTTGGTAAACACTGGGCAATGGAAATGCTGAGATATATTGTCTTAATGTATAGCCAAATATATTATGGCCTTCGTGATATTACGTACTACATAAATATCTATACATTATATCGTCTAGATGGCCATATATGTGTGTACATATACTGTATGTGTGGCCAGAATCACGGCTTAATTGGTCTGCCTCATTCAGAGTCATGGTTTCTGCACTAGTGCCATGCCATCCTACCAATCCCACCACTGTGTCTGGCTTGACTGTCATCTGCGGTGGAAAGGTGGGCTCCACACATTGCACGTTGTGGAAAGGCACAAAAAATAAGACATGAGCTGATCCTCAATTGGAAGGAAGCTGTCAGTGGACACTTCAACTTCCACTGCTACTTTACACCAACGCAAGAATTGGGCCCTCATTTACGTGGGGTTGCCACCGGGCTAGAAAGTAAACAGTACATTGGATTAAAAATGTAATTATACTTTGTGATGCAAATTTTGGTTATATGTCTGCAAGAACATTTTGTTTCTTATGTTTAACAAATCTTGTCCACTGCATATTTACGTTTATACAAACATAATTGTGCTTTATACAGGCAATCATATCGCGCACCTTCATATAAGATTATGCCCACAAGCTGATAGAGTCTATATTAATAGAACAGCACATTGTTCATTGCACATATGGATATAACACAAGGTTGTTTTTTTTCAATGCCACTTACAAATATATCAGAAACAGTATTCCTAAATATCCAACATCGAATTGAAGTTATTAACTCTGCTGGTAGCAGTGGGCGGCCCTTTGTATTACTGCAATGTGGCTGCAGTGGCTACAAAGGGACAGGGAGTTTAAAGGTGCACTGCTTAAACATTTTACAACACATCCAGCAGCAGAGACAAATGCAGAAGCACATACAATGTCTAATGATTCATGTAATTGCTTTCAAAGAAGATTCAACAAAACACCACCTATATTACACGATTTGACACTCACTTCAACAATAGCAACACATACACACATAAATGAAAAAGCAGATAACAAAAATAAACCTTGTTCATTACAAAATAACAGGTGCTTTGTTTTAACTGTGACCGAGGGGAAATGAAAGTCAAGGCTGCTCAGCCAAAATATCGGAATTTTGCTTTCGTCTCGGACACTGTTACACAAGCTGTTATGTTTAATCAACTTGTTATTTGATGTTTAAGTTCACCGAAGCATAACATTGATACCTTATGAAATGCAACACTGATGTCACTCAGCGAAGTTCCATAAAAAAAGATATATATATAGCCAACGATTTTCACAAGATGCTGTGCTTAGGCTGCCCTGCTTATATCTTCATGTCTATATAAGACAACACGGGAGCATTTTGCACATTTTATACGTTGGTTGCAAAACAATAAAAAGGCCGTCTTTGAATATTATGGCAATACGTATGAAGATGACATTGTTCAAAGCAACTACTAAATACGCTACTTTCTGAATTTAAAACTACGCGTTAAACTGCAGATATAAACAAATACAAATGTGTATTCCTGCATTTGTTCTCTAATCTCTCTCAATGAAATTCCAAGCATGCATCTCACCATGCTTGTGTTTGCTCTTCTGACTTTGTGTATTATTTTCCGGATGTCTTACACGGTATTCTTAAATAACGTCATAATTTTTGTGCCTTGTATGTACATACGCTATTGGAATATTAGGATTTAAATATGTTTAGCCAAACATGACTTAAATAAAGCAAATACAGTAGTGTATATTTCCAATTAGTGCAGAACAAGTAGCTGATTAAGATTTCTGTGTGAAAGTATTTTGGATGAATAGTATAACACAAGCATATATACATTATTTCTATAACTCCAATACTACCTGTGCTTTCTGAAACTATAAAGAATAAATACATCACAATGTATAGAGTTAACACTTTATACAGCACATTTTTTAAACATATATGTCCAGCCGTCTAATAACCCATACCACAAAAACACAAACGGGGCGATTTAACTTAATGACGGTTAACTATATTATTTTATTATCATCAAACACAGCACTGAGTACTACATATCCTACATTTAGTTTTGAATGTTCGTGACATTTTTTTACCGGGTTTGTTTGAAAGTATGCTGCTAAATTTTGGTGACCTTTGACACTAGGTTACTATAAAAAGCACAATAATGTAAAAAATATAGGTAACGCATTTTTATATTGTGTCACTTTCAACAGGCTCTTTACACATTATTTAATGAATGACTAAAATAACACCGACGTAACTTATTTTCTTCTATTCTTGGTTCTTTCGGTAAAGTCACGTAGAAGGGAAACAATAAAATAATAAAAATATAAAACAATAAAATTCCCACGACGTTTCTACTGCAGTCACGAAGAATATGAATCCCTGCAGTCACGAAAGCTTTAAATCAAAATTTATTTTCTTCTGTTGATAGTGTCAGTTGTATGTGTATAATGTGTGTGTTTTTAGTACTATATGGTATGTGGAAGAGTACAATCAGTTCTGCAACATATCAGTGTGTGTGCTCTTAATACCAACTAAACCACCACGAGACTTCATTAAATATGTAATTATGTTCAGCATTTCTATAGTGATCACACCTATTACAAGCTATTCCCACTTTCATACGCTTACAGAATAATGTAAAACATGATGATTGAAAAAGTGTATGGTGGATAGATTCGAATAGAAATTCGAAATGTGTCACCATACTTCAATGAGCTTTGGGCAAACAGTCCTGAGCTTCCACATTCCTAAGGTGAAGACCAGTTTCTCAAACATGAGTTGAATTATCGCAATGACAGTTGTTATTTTACCTTTGTGCACCTTGATTTTATTACCTTTCATGGACAATAAGTTATACAAACGTTGAAGGGAATCAATAAAATAATAAAAATATAAAACAACAATATTGTTTTATATTTTATAATTTTTTTATTATTTTATTGATCCCCTTCTACGTGACTTTACCGAAAGAACCAAGAATATGAATCCCTGCAGTCACGAAAGCTTTAAATCAAAATTTATACAAACGTTGTATAGTTTTTATTTTATCCAGTGGATGGTGCATGGCTTGAGACTGTCACATTTGTAATTGCTATCCTGATGTTACAAATAAGAACCACCCAGAAAACTAGGAAAGTTTATCTGGAAAGCTCACTGGTCAAAAACTTAATAAATCTCCTTCATATTTTATTACATTAATTAACTGAAGCAGTTAAGAACACTTAATTCGAGAGGTAGCCGAGTGGCTCCAGGGGCTAACACAACGTCAGAGCACTGAGCTGGTGCCACTGACATCCTGGGTTCAAATCCAAGCAACCACCCGTGATTAAACGAGATTCTCAAGTGTAATGAGTTGATTGTCTCAATCCGGTCACCAGAGACGGCACAAAAAAATGTATCCCCGATGAGCCGGAGTCAATGGTGGAATTTAAATATTCCCGTGGCAGTAGCAAGTCTCCCAAGGGTAGCCAATGTTGACTTCCCACAAAGTGGTGCCTATTTTATTGACCCAGGACAGCTGATGAGCTGTCATGCCCTGAATGGTACCCGACCTCGGAATCTTTTGATTGTGTAGTGTACTGTATGTATATAATATTACGTTGTATTTAGTAGTCGTTAAATTCCAGTGTTATAGGAGTTTTAAGGACTGTCACGATTTCATATGCTTATACTGTACTTGAGTGCACTTTAGACATAACAGCTCAACATTGGTCATTTAAACGCTACAGTATTACCTCATTACTCGCGAGGGATGCATTTCTGAGATGCTCGTGAATAGTAAATTTCGTGGATAATGATATTTAATTGTCTTAAATAAACTTGTAAATACATGCAAATTATCATAATAACACATCACTCTCTCGCATCACTCATTGCTTTATCTCTCATCACTTCATCTCATCACATTATATCTCATCGTGGAAAGCCAAAATCACGGATAGCCAAGTTTGTGAATAATGAGGGAATACTGTACTTTACATTTGATATTTTGAGCAAAGCTGTATTTCATATTTTTAGTTCTTTCGGAAAAGTCACGTTGAAGGGAAACAACAAAATAATAAAATATATATAAAACAATAAAAATTCTCACGACGTTTCGACCATAACACAAACGGTCGTCTTCAGGTGTGTTGGTTTGCAAACCATATATTTTATTATTTTGTTGTTTCCCTTCAACGTGACTTTACCGAAAGAACTAAGAATATGAATTACTGCAGTCACGAAAGCTTTAAATCAAAATTCAAAGCTGTATTGTTACAGCATCTGAAATACCTTGAGAAATCTTCATCTCTGTGGTAAATAGCAAAGGAAATTTAAATTTGAAGAAACACACAACCCACGGGACACTCCATTGGAAGTGGTTTGTGTCTACAGCCTTGATTTTAAAACCACTTCACTGGAGAGATGCTTATGCTGCAAAGATATTTAACTGATGTTTAAGTCACGATATTTTTGTCTTTGTTTTTCTAATTGTGCTTGTTGGATGATGGAGCGTTTTGTTTCTTGTTTGTTAGCTGCTAGAATTCAATGGTATCTTGGTATACTTCACATCCTGTGTGCAGTTATTTGGAGAATTCATGTGTCAGGTACTTTATTCAATAATGATGATTTAAACAAAAAAATGGCAGCAAATGTCTAATTAAATGTAAACTAACCTAAAAAATAAAGTGAGGTGCATGTTTGCAGTGCATTGTACACCGATCGTTCATATTTTAGAAGAAACCATTTTTCTGCCATTTGGACAGGAAAACAAATAACTGCCAAATCTGCAGAAACCGTGCTAATTTCACAACATTTTCATCAAATGTTAGCAAAAACTGCCATTCTACCAAACATGAATTAGGACCTACATATTAAAACTTCTTAAGCAAATGTGCTGACACAAACACTATTCATAAACAATAACATCTAGCAAAATTTATCCATCACTAAATATAGATAGCCAATAATGATTCCACTATGCATATGAATTAGAGTACAGGCAACTGTATTGACAGTTTACAGACAAAATGTAGAATAGACTTTCCATGTAGAGGATCAATGATCTATACCCTGGTTAAGCTGCTCAAAAATTGTAATACACTTAGAAAGACTTCTCTGATCATTATGTCACACGAACAAGTTTATAATGTCACATGATCCATGTAACTCCACGTGGTGATGTCACATGAATCAGTTTATGAATCTACGTATGAACAAAAACTGCATCAGTTAAGATTTAGCTCACAGAATGCATTTTTCATTCAACATCATCTATCTGTTTAATGTGCAATCCACGCTTGCGTAGCATAGCTCTAACTTCCAAGATTGAAACTGTTTTCTACACCAATCCCCAAAAACCTGTTCACCTCACTATACGAGCATCCACAGCTCCCTACGCCAAAACCCAGCATGCAAACGCCTTCTACCATCTGGGACACTCCCGAGCACTCGTGGACATTTGCTCAAAACGGACCCCCACCCTTGCTCTACTTATCGAGTCTTCAGCCGGACGAGGAGCCGAGGAGAGGGCCGGGGGGGGGGGGGGCGGCTGCACGCAGTGGGGAGGACGGTCACATGAGGATTTGGCGACGTGTGTCGGGCATGCGCAGCGCCACGAAGCCTCCCCCAACGAGCACGGTGGAGGCGAGCAGCACGGCCACCGTCTTCCCCGAGCCGACGGTGGAGTCAAAGATCACGTTCCCGAACACGGCCGCCAGTCGGCTCATGGCATTCAGGAAGCCGAACGCCGTAGTCCTGCGCACACAGTCGACAGCGGTTGGTTGCGACGGTATCGGAGCATCTGCGAGCCGGTGCTGCACACGCCGATACGCCGTACAGAGATAGCTGCCGCTGTGGGCTATCCTTGGCTAGGCTGCATCACGGCACTGGGATTGTTGAGGTGACATGGATGTAAGGCATTTAAGTGCCTTATAAAGACAAGTTCTCACCCTAGTACGAAAAAAAGTTGGGAGGGGGAGGCAAGACTGATCCATTTATATCACTCGACACTGACGTTAGCCATGACCGGGAGTCATACTCAGGTCACTTGGGTTTTTATCGCAGCGAGATAATCACCGCACCACTGCCCCAACCTGCCAATGCTTTTTAAAACACTAGTTCATAAAGCCTGTCTTCGCCAGGCAAAAGTTTTCAATAAATATAATATAATAATTATCCTGATATGATTTTTTTGGAAAATGTATGTAGGATGGAACACTAACAACTACTCCAAAAATGTGAATTTTTCCACAAAAAACTAAAATTGTTGACGACTTGATTCCGCATCTTATATTTAAAGACGTAGACATCGGAAACAGCTCAATTTAAAGATTCCGTTTATTTTTTTATTAGAAAGAACAAAATTGAATTAACTTAATACTCTATGACGGAAGCCACTATCTTTTACAGTTTATTCAGATTTGAACATCATAAAATGCATATTTTTTTCCTTCAAAACCGCTTGAATCCGAAATATCTCAAAAACAATCAAGGATAGAACAATGGTTCTCGCTTACATTTAATTTGCTGCTTTACACTCTATCAAACGAAAAAAAACGCAATGTTATATTTTGAACCGTTTCTGCATGATAAGCAAAAACACTTAAAAATCGAGATTTGGGGGCCTGAGAATGAAAAATCTCGGATTTTCAAAAAAAATGTCCTTGTTTTTTTGTGTCCTAAAAGCTACATATGTAGCAAATTTCAGCTTTCTACCTTGTCGGAAGTACCCTAGAGGTTCCTGAGACATATATTAAAGTATATATATAGATAAGGTGGCCCATAAGTTAGAGCTAAAATGTAAATTATTGTAAGGTTGGGAAACACTTTTGGGTCACCTAATTCACCCCAGAAATGGACAGCTGCAGGCTAGACATTGCCCCGCGATCTATATGATGTAAGGTTAACTGGAAATATTAAAATAATGGCCTATATAAAAGGATACATCAAGCACTTTTCTCAAAGTAAGAATGTCTCATCAGTTTCCGAATATGTCCTCAGCTGTGGTATAAAAAGTACGCGATGGGGTGTGTGTTGGTGTAATGCAACCACCTCTTGTTGGTCGGAAACAACTCGACAGTGATGACATTGAGAGCGTTCCAAGCAGAGATGCTGAGTCCATTAAAGAGGCAGAGCAGCCCAATCATGGTGGCTTCGCTGCTCCCAGCCCAGAGAAATGAGCAGCTCACTCCCGACAGGATCATGGAGTTCCCTTAAGTAGAGGGCCACATTCAATCAGCAAAATTAATATCAACCAAAACAAACACAATCTGAAATCATTTGTCAATAACACTGTCTTAAAAGGAAACGTATGTAACAGGTGATGTTTCGGGTAGATGGCTCTTCCCCATAGCACATAGAGAGACGAGAGAGATAAAGCAGATAAGACTTCCAGACTGCACTATGCACCATGGGACCTGATGAGAATTACATTTTTTAAGTGTTTCCTAGCTATTGAGTAATATACACGTCCTTCAATAATCCAACATGGACACTAAGTAAACTAATTGTATTACAAGTGACTGATCAAATGTAAATGTATTAAATAAATTAACTTTTTCTAATAAAATTCCAATTATAAAATGTTTCCGGCACATTGCATTTTGGGTAGAATTGTTAATGAAAACATAATGAGCAGCATAATGCAATTAGTAATGAATTCCTGGGTAAATTATCACCTCAATAGTATGAAACATGATCACAAAGAATGTGCGGATTAAATGTATCAAGGTAAATTCCTGAACCTTGCAAGCAGGGTTAAGGAAAAAAAGAGATATTTCAGTATCGTTTCAGCCCTTGATAAAACCAATAGAGACAATGTCTATGATATACCCGCAACAAGAAACAACCAATGTCATGACTATGTGTGCTTTCTTTCTGTTTAATACTTACAATGCTCACCGCTCAACTGATCTGCTAAACAAATTAGCCCAAGGAAGGTTTTTCCTTGATTGGAAAAATGGCCTCAATGGTCTTAATTGATGGAAACCACATAATCTATGCGCATATATTCCGTTACACAAGCCAAAATCAGAATCCTGCATTATCAGAGGCGACCATAAATAAAAGAGATGTATGACACAGAACACATTACCAAGGTTCCCATAATAACAAAAAATATCCGGTCCTGTGTTTAAAAAATTAAATACCATATTATGCAATTAGGTGAAAGGTTATCATACCAAACATTATTTATCAAAAAAGGATCATGCTAGAACAGTGCACAGATATGAGATTTCATGAAACAAAATATTCGCTGATACAAATGATCAAGAGAACATTTTATCTACATACATTTTTAGAGTGATATATTATGAGTAAGGAGATAATTTTGGCAATGCAATGTTTTGCTAAATTCATGGACAAAGTGCGTAAAAGAAATAATCTTCTATGGAAAAGTCACGGAATAAGATGGAGCAGTGCCTAACCTAAAATTGTAAAATGAGAAAAGAAACTGTAAATATGACTGTTTATGTTTTTTTTTCCTTTAATAAAGTGGCTAAATTAAGTGATTATCTAAAGGCTTCGGTCATTTCAAAATTGTTTCGGATTTAATAATAATAAAAAACAATAAAAACATGCATAGAGCATGGCATACGATATGTTTGAAATTAAATACAGGACGCATATCGTCAAATGTAATTCGGGGCAGTGCTGGCGATTCAGTACTGCGGAGGCAGCGAGGGTTGATTGGATGCACACATGTTGTGAAACTCCCTTCCCATGGCCGCCGAGGTGCCATATCCTGGCTCGCCAGAGGAATGCAGTACAGCAAGTGGACTAACCGCCATCTGTCTACATCTGTACGGGGATACAGTGTTTCCCCCTTGCACGCACAGTGTTTTTTTTCCAGATGCTCCAGTTTCATCCCACTGATGTAAACGCTCAGTGATTGAAAACATCTGAACACAAAAAACGCAATGCAGGACCCACTTGAAAAAGAGTCCGGCGACTCAGTGTAGCTTTCTCGGATAAGGAAGCAAAATGAGTATTAATGATTTGTGACCACCTTGAACTTCGTGCCAAAATCGTAGCCTCACAGGTCTAGATGTTTTGTTAACTTGATCACAATTAGCATCACCGATCCGAGGGTGGTCATTATTAACACAAAATAATTATGACTGTATATATAAAATCTACAAATTTTCACTGGGTTGGAGAACGGAAGTGGGTAATTAGTTCCAAAACGCAGAATGAAGGAATACAAAAATTCCCTCTTCCAGCCATTCTGCCGACAAAGCAATTTACAAGGCAAAACCAATAAAAGAATAACACGGGTGGGACAATAGACGCGTGAAATAATGTGAGATATTTTATAACAGACCTGACCATGTAAGCACTGGTAGAAGCAGTAGAGGGAGCTTACAGAGCAACACTGAGATTACATCTTGATTTGAAGCTTCCGTGACTGCAGGAATCCATACTCTTTGGTTCTTTCGGTAAAGTCACCACGTAGATAGAAAATTAATAGATGACGACGTTTCGATCGCAACACAAGCAACCGTCATCAGGTGAGACAAACACCGAGATTGAGAAGAGAGGCAGGAGGGGGCTGAAGCATCAATAGGGCCAACAGCTTTGGCGTCATACCAAGAGGTTTTAGTGTTGACGGTGATGTACCAACCCAGATAAGGGCGCAGACCCCAGAGATCGACGGCCAAAGAGGAGACCGAAGGCCATGGGGAGCCATGTGGTGGGATAGTGTATTAGAGCAGAGCCTCGGAGGTTGCATTGGTGATATGACAATAAACCAAAAACTGTTTTCATTTTACCAGGTAAAGCCCACTGAGCTACAGTATATAGCTCCTTTTCAGAAGCGATCTGCCCACAGGTGATATAGCTCAACGAAGTGACTTACCATGTGGACATTTATTACAGCCAAATACTCCAAATGCATGTTTCTGAATGTGGAGGGAAACACCAGAGGACCCGGAGAAATATACACGAGGACATGCAAACTCCAAACATACAGGCGTCAGAAGACCTCCCGTATACCAGGCAAGGTAGTTAACATCTCACCACCGTGGCGCCCAATGACAATGGGGTCCAGGAAAATAAACAAATGGCAAGGTTTGATGAAATCAACAGCAATGACCGTAATATGACCTCTCAGCCTTGACCAAAAATACATCATGGGATAAACACACACACTACCTTACACTGCCTCTGTGGTTTGTTTCAACATAGCAAGGCATTTCTTTTAGTTGCCAACCTTCAACAGGCTGAACACGTGACATTTTACATCTTGTGATGGTAAGGCGACGTATGACGGTGTAACAGTTGCACCCTTGTTATGTTGTACTGTAGAGCCAAGGTGCCCTGCTGCCACATGTTGATAACTAGGTGTCACATATAATGGTGTGACCCATACGGTACAGCTTTCAGTAAACTAGTTCAGAGAAGTGTAAAAACAAAGTCTCTCTAATCGTCAATAACAAAGTTATTATTCAGAAAAAATAATTTATCGATGTACAATAAGCATGAACAAATCTGCATTGTAGAAGTCCACAAATAGGTTCACAAGTACAGCAAGATGACTGGTACAGAACATCGTCAATGACTATACAAATAATATTATTGCGTCAGATTGGTTCTGCATAATGTCTGCATATGTTCATATAATGGATCCGTATAAATGATTCCACTGTAACAGAAATGGAAAATTTTGAAATATGTGGTGGTGTTATTGGAGTCCGAATTAAGTGTTGAAAAGTTAGACGGTAAAATAAAAGAGTTGGTTCATCATAGACCTTGAATACATAGTATAGTTCCTTCATGAAAATGCAACGAGCCAAACAACTTCAAAGATTCCAATACAACACCCGAATATTCTAATTGTTCATAAATCAATCAATTAAATGTTGGCAGTCCATTTCTCATATAGTATTGGGATGTGGTTATTTCTGGTATACACACATATAGACATATTCTTACCACTCTCTGGACAAATCAAAGGAGCACTTCAACAAAGTCGATGAGATGGCAAAAGAAACCGACTGAAGTGACACCGGAATTAATTTCGTGGCACCATCTTTTTTTTCCAACAATACAAGATGGCTGCTTTTATGGAGTCATACAATAAATGCCACTTCCCCTCATGCCCCTATTTAATAAATGTTTTTTTTTAAACAGTAGGTGAAATCCCATTGATACAGCATACCAAAACCATGCACTGATGCAGATTCACAATGCAAAAGAAAATATTCAACAGCAAACACATCTCCCCAAATGCCATGAGCTAATTCAAGTTACAATGTGTGGTGTTTCAACGAATAAATAGACAAAATCATGAATAACAGCCAGCCCTGAAGCAGGGCAAGGACATAAAAGGTGAACAGGTCTCAGGTGAAATGAGTTGAGAGTCTCAACACATCACCGATGATCGTAAAATTAAATTTAGGTTCCGCACTTAATTTGGCTAAATTGCAGCTCTGGGAATTGAACACTGTCATGCTCTGAACATTACTTCGCTGCTGCAGACCTGGTGGGAAAGTGCTGCCCATCCCCTTATTTTGGAGACCAGAGAAGTCCTGAATGCATCTTAGAGGTAGCTCTGTGGTATTCGCTTCCAGACGCATACTTCGTCTCATGTGACACCAATAGCACAATCGGGATAAAAATTGTGGGGACAAGACAAACAAAAAGATGGTAACACAATCTACCAGTGTGCCCAATCAATCAGGCCCCAATCGGAAAGACTCACACTTACCCACAATCATTTGTGTGTCTCTCTGGTAATAAAATGACACGTACAAAGATTACAAATATAGCCTACATAGACTATTACAGAAAAGTGCTGTTAGAGAGCACCTAATGAGGCCTAAACAGTGCATAAGGGGGTGGTGTAGCCAACACCATCATCTTTGTTTACCTAATACTGATGTAACACACAAACCCAGGTACTGATTTAAGGCTGTGTCAACCTAGCAGAGGTCCAGAACCAATTCAAATATCACTCACCATTAATGTTAGCCATGGCCAGGAATAAAACTCAGGTTTGCAGCAAGGTAGGCTAACCTCTAAACCTCTCCTCCCCTAGTATCGTAACATACGTGTACACACACACAATGCACTGTTGCAATATTTGCAATCGGCTTATGTAAACATTCATAATGAAAGTATAAAGTGTATCGTAACTTTATTAAAATTTAATACTTTATTTTAAATGTCAAGGATACCTGCATTACAGGGATTTCTTTTAACACATGTGAT